TGGCACCATCAGATTACAATCTTTTTGTTCGCTGTATCACCATCTTATTGGGAAAACTTATGCAAATGTGGAAGGTATTAAAGAGAACATCGACAGTTTTTGCTACAAAGCCAAGTGATTTCTTTAATCGGGGCATTAACAACCTGATTTAAGATGGAAATGCATCATCGATAAGAATGGAGATCATTTCATTTAATAAATGTTTTGTTTTGATATATAAGTTGTTCAGGTTTTTTCATCTAAAAAAAGCGACATCAATTTCTTGACGACCTAATATTTGCAATCAGTTCACAAGATGTAAAAATAACAATGACAGCACCAATGTTAGTCCTAATAGAACTATAACGCTGCAGAAAACAAAGGATTGGTTGGATTTTATAATTATAATATTAAACAATGACAAGGCAAAATAAAATAATGTCGATCATATTTCACGGTAAACTTTTATGTAAATTAAGCACCTGTTGATCTGAAATCCAAATGATTGGTCAATCAGTACACACTCGTAAGTTAACATTTGTGAAAGGTGGCTTACGTCATCACAGTTCATAACATGCAATTCATTGTGAATGTAGTCATCAAGGGCAACCTGACACCGACGTTGTATGCTTAAAATCAATGTCGATAAGTTACCGAAGTACCCCCGACCACTCTAAAACAGCTGTTTCAAAGATATCTTTTGTGCCTGGAGTCACCTGAAGAAGTGCAATAAACTTCCCAAGAGCACCTCATATATCAGTGGTTCCCAACCTTTTCACCACCAAGGACCCCTTTTATTTTATTTTTCCCCACAGACCCCATGTTTTTGAAATATTCCGTCTACCCAACAAGCTGCTTTTATTAACTAACAATTAACTTTCCCATATTTCACTGTCAAATAAAAGACATATATAACTGAGTGTGCAATTAAAAGAACAACAGTATTAACAAAATTACTTGTTTAATGAACTGATTAATGTTGCTCTATTGATACACATTTTTTTTCCCACGAGGAGCTTAGCTGAATTTTTAACGAATTTTCTCACATACTTAGAAAGCCAGAAAAATTGTAACAGTTATAGAACAGTCTCATATTTTTACGTTGTTATTATTCTGTGTATTTCCGTGCATTATTTGATTAAATAAAATAGCTTACGAACCCCCAGTATTACCTTCGCGGACCCCAGGTTGGGAACCACTGCCATGTATGATTAACAGAAAAATTGAACTCGTCCGTGAGCAGGTAGGAATCTCCATTCCCTTAATCCTTCTTCAAAGAACGTGTTAATACATTTAGCATAATGAGTGCGGGCAATGCCTTCATTAAGCTGAAGTCAGGGCCAATTACACCAGAATATTGGTTCCTATGTCACTCGCCCATTAAACGAGTTCTCTGCTTGCTTGAGTGAAATGCGTTTTATTTGGTTCCTGGCGTATATGTCGGCCTCGTGAAGTCTGTATTTACCAGTTTGTACATTGATATGACATCCAGTAGTGGCTACGCACATCTAATCCAGTCTTGGATCAGATATTTTACTATTGCAACGAACTAGAATCGGTCTACACAGCGGTTTTCTACTTGTTTATATGTCCAAGCAACTGTGATACGATTTGGAAGCGAGTAATAACGACGTTTTGAGACTTCAATCCAACTCGTAACAGCTTGCTCTGAGTGGACAGCTTTCAATCATTGAACGACTCTTCATATAAGTGAAACATCTAACTGTCTTCTTTTAGGTTTGTCCATGGCCTATAAACAATTTTTGGAACTTTAAAATCTGTGGTTAATCTCAAGACAACTGTGTGAAACCACTATATATAACATAGGCTGAACAATCAAACATTTACATTTTAAATCGCAGATCATTAGCTGCTCTATTTTCATACTAAAAACGTAATCGATGGTTTTTTTTGACATTATTTTAAAACAGTGGTTTTTGCCTTGTCTTAAATATAATATTGTAATTTCCCATTATCTTTTTGTTTGTGGAATACTGTAAACATTGCTACAGCCCTTTTCTGGTCTCGTGCTTCTCATTATTTAAACACAACAATCACGAGTTGTCTTCCACTGTATTGAATTAATGTAATACCTGTTTGTCGATGATGTAGTATCTGATATGATGGTATGGTCACCTTTCAGTGGTCCATTACAACTGTGCACGCTAGAAACCGAACAAGCCTTTAGCGACGGTTTCAACGAATATTTGTTCAGAAGTTCTTGGGAATTGGTGTCAGGAACGTACCTGAAAATAAAGTGTCGCCACGTATTGTTATGTGTGTATATATATACTGAAAACGTATGAATAAACTAAGAAAGGTGAAATATCGATCAAAAAGACAAATGTCTTACGTTTAAACTTTTATTCACTAGATGGAGTCTATATAAGTTTAATAAAGTTGAAACATAAAAAAATATGAATCTAGTATTACATCGTAAAAAAGATATAAATATATATAAATAGATGCCTCGTTATTTGAATCATGATTATTAAAGCTTCTAAAAACAAATATACGAAATGTCCAATATAGTACAATATAGTTATATTCGAATCCCAACGCTCGCTTATATTTCAAGATTAAACTATTACTTCATTCTGAGAAAGACTCGGTTTTTTCACAGTTATTTCTTGCCTTTACAGTATACTCAAGTGTTCATTTCCAACGATAAAGTGCTCGTGATACAGGCTCTTCAGATGTAGAGACAGAAGAGCTTGTAAATTTTCATTATTATACACTAACATTTCCTCCAACTAAGTATTTGTAACAAATACAACCTTTTATCATTTTTCTGAATATAAAGCATTGATTATATGAATTAATTCTCTACTACAGTTCACCTTCAACACATATTAGATAAAGCCATCCTTAAGAGTACTTAAAGTGTATTATTATTATTTTTTTATTTTTTTACTGTTACTTACTTTTCCTTCAAACAAGCAAGTTTTGAAAAGCACCTTGTTTTAACAGAAATGTTGTGTATTGATCTGTAGTTCCAAGACCTAGTTTTAGACTCTAACAAACAACGAATGATCATTTACAAAAGAAATGATAATAACTGACTTGCGATAATGCATTGGTCGAGAGATCTGTTCCTTCCTTGGTGTTCTCTGATAGTTGTCTTGACTACGGTCTGTTTCATTGGAACAAGTTGATCCGATCCTCCCATTCTTCCTGCTAAGAGCCACAATACCAGAATCGCCGTCACTGTCGTGCATATGAAAGCCTGTAATACATTAAACATAATACTAATGAAACATAGCTGTTCCAATTGTTAATGAAATACTAGAAATGTTGATCTGATATAGTTTCAAATACTTATCAATGCGCTTGGAAATATAAATTTACAAGCAAAGTGGTAAAAGCCATATAGATTTAAAGGCCTTTTTTAAGACTGCCTGTAACAGGTTTTAACAATGTTGACATCGAGCTCCAAAACATCTTGCTAGTCCTTCCTTGCGAATTGTATAAACTATAAACTGAAGTGCCTATAGTTCTATGGATACACTATATTAAAGGTATATCTTAATATAGACAAAAGCGAGGAATGCATAAAAACATATATACAGGGGTTTAAACAATGCTTATATAGATCGTTATGATTTTTTTATTTAAGAATTTTCGCTCAAACCCCAAACACAAGGGTTATCCGAGCACAGTCGTTCCTAATTTTGAGTTGATAGACTAGAGGAAAGCGGCTACTGCCAACTATTGAGCTACTGTAATCAAATAGTGATACTTGACTGTCATTTTTATAAAGTACCCACAGTCCCAAATAGCAGAGCTTGACTTTATGGAAAGGAGACGCGATCCAGGGACTCTCGAATACACAGTCTGGTACGCTAACCAATAGGTTACATATGAACTTTTTTTTTTTAGGTTTCTTCGTTTTCCAACATATATCGATGGTTCAACACCACTTTTCAACAAATGGGCAATGTTCGAACATTGAAGAATATTTCATGCAACTAGCTCCAAAATCCTCTATTGTACGAAGATGTGTAGTTGTTAAAAGATTATGGGGCTAATAAACACCTCTTAATGGAAACAATCTTCGATATATTTACTGCAACTGTCTTATTTTGTTTTCTGTAGGATATTTTTTCAATCTTCTCAGATTTTATATGAAACGTTGTCATAGAGTTAAGAGAACCAAAAATGAGAGTTCAAAGGCAATATGGAGCTATCGTTGAAATTTCAAATTTTCTTACCATTCACGTAATCGTAGGACATATTCTTGTGTACTTAATCTTATAAATGATATCCTATAAAGATATTTCTCCAAATTTAGTTTGCCTCGCTTTTATACATTCTTTATGTTTCTTCCGACACTTCTAGTAATCATTCCTGGTGTGATTATTAATACGTAATGTTTTTGTATTTCTTCACTGCATGTGGAGAAAGTTCTTTTAAAACAATCACAATTATTAATAATACTTCTTGAAGAAGCTTACATTCTCTTGTATGTATATCACCCACAAGTCTTTCACAGAGAATCTTTCGAAGGAATAACTGACTTTTGTATACCCCTTAGTTGGTACTTTAACATCACATCACATGTTATTCTTTCTATAGTTCAACAAACTGTTGAGCAAATTTTCTTGAAAACAAATCTCTTATTAAAATAGGGTAGCTATGTTAGTGTTAAATGCATTTAGCTAAAGTTTAGAAAACTCAAATGTGACAACTGGATTTCCCTAGTACCACCATTTCTTTTTGTATACTTGTGTTCTAGTAGACTTGCAGAGATATTTGAAACCACCTGTACTGAGGTCTAGATTTTCTTTCTTCGCGGTCACGGACATAATCTTTCGCACTTCATAATAACTACAGCTTCAACTCAGCTATCTTTGAAATAAATAGACTTTTCTACTGTACTGATATTGTTTTCAGGTCCTAACATTTTTTCAAAATTAGAATTCTTTTCAGATTTATAACTTTTATCAGCAGCTGCACACGGCATTTTTCAAATAAATAACTATGTACACTTCAAGCATTTTTAGTATCAAGAAAACAGCCAATATCAACTGTTTCTTATGGCTACTGGGGACTCCTTCATTTCGGCTGGATTCTAGTTTAATAAAAAAAGTTAAACATCTTCCCTCAAAACTACTATTACTGTGAGTAAGTCAGATTGTGTGTCTTCATCTTGAGTGGCATTCACAAGCTTATCACTTGACAACCAAGTCATAGTTCCTTAGGGGTACTTCTGGATAGAACAACTGATTGAGACCTTGAACATCATAGCGAGCTCCAGAAAAATTAGCCTCCACACGAAATTTTTCAAGGATTCTACCTATTCAAATACCTAACGATCCAGCCATAACTACCTTTGAACCTTGACTAACTCCGATTCTCTATCTCACACTGGCTCGATTCAATATTTTATAAGACTACAAGTTACTCGAAGTTTTTATAATGATCTTTTTTTGGATTCATTTAAACATCAAACAGACGACATCTGTCGGCCTAATCTGTAAACCAAATCAACAAATGATTGTATTAAATATAAAACCAGATGACAGGTTACTGAAAAACAGCATAATAGTTTCTCTTTATTCAGTTCAATAAGCGCCATAGATTTAATTTTAAATTGACATCATGTATATATCAAGATGTGAAGAAATATTAAGTTATTTTGTCTTTTAAACCATAATTACTATAAACCACATTTTTTTTCATAATTGACAACAAATAATTATTTCTGATTAACAAATGCAACATTCTCTCACTATCAATATATTATATCAAAAAACAAATAGAATAAAAAAGTATAAAAATTGGAGTACTCAGCGATAATTCAGGTTTGCAATTTTAATATGTCGTCAGCATCACTGACTAGGTTCACGTTAGAAATTATTTATCTTCAACATCACTACTTTTGGAATAGCTGATAAGAAAATTGTTAACGTTATAACATACTCCTTTTATGAAATTGTTCATTGAAAACAAAAACTCTGTAAATATTATAAAAATAAAGGCTATTAATGCAAATGCACTTACAACATTTTTGATTGATGAAATATGGCAATTAAGAGTGTTATCGGCCTTGAACGGTAGTAATGTAGATGCTTAGATATTAAGTTCCTAAATAAAACACACACAACATTTAAAAGTGGCATTGCATTTTTATTAAGACAGCTATGCATAAAAAAAACAGTAAATTTTCGTCAAAATGGCGGCTTTCAAGACAGTGAAAAGGGGGAGCATATTTTTTAAAACAACGTAATAAAGTTAGACATTATCTATTGTACTCAACAACAATGTTTCATCTTGCTTTAACTGTAAGGTGTATCATCCATACCTCCATTATGTACTGGTTTTTCACTATCCTGTTGCATGTCGGGTAATTGTTTTTCTCCACGTTTTCTGGAATTCGTATGATTACACTGACTACTAGTATTAGTACTGTCAGAAGTATCACTTGTGGTATCATCAGCTGCTGATACCACTTGGGAGTAATCAGACGAAGAGGGTTGAATTGTGTTTGTTGGCGCCCAGTCCTGTTCACATGCACTGTCAGGAGACGGAACACGGCCTGTAATGTTTAACTTTAAAGAAACCATGGTTACATCGTTCGTATTACTACAGAAATCATTAAATTGGTGACCAGGATTCGAAAATGATGGAAGATTCTGATCTGATGGCATGACACAGATTTGGGCATTCCTGAAATAAAATCGACAACAAGTTATAAGAAACAAAAAACTAATATAATAATGTGCATACTTAAGCATACTCTAACAAAAAATTAATTTAATAATGTGCATACTTAAGCATACTCTAACAAAAAAAATAAATTTATTAACGTGCATACTTAGCATACTCTAACAAATAAAAACTAATTTAATAATGTGCATACTTAATCATTAGATGAAACTACTTTTTTTACGATAATCATCCTTTTAAAATAAAACATAAACAAAAACTTAATACGAGTAAGTTGTCAGAACAAAACAAAATGAAATTCTTAGAATGTGTTAGCATCTTTCATATCTTACACTACAGACTTAAACAATAACAGTTAAATTTTATGAAATCAGTGTACGTTACATAGAGCATTTTCTGGAAAGCTTTTACCCATAGCCTGCCCGGAAATTGTAGACGTTAAAGATTTATATTGATTATCTTTAAAAAAAATCATATATAAGTTTATTGTTTTTCACCTACGAATGTCAAGTATTTGCTGTCAAGACCATAATAGAAATAAAAGTTCCAAATATAATGATTTTTTTTAAGTGATACATTAGAGTGAAGGTAACATCCACAGCCAACTCTTGTCTGATAGTGGAATTCGACTGTTACTCTTACTAAACATTCACGACCCCAAAATATGGAGCAAAAAGCCTCTAACCACGAACCCTTTGATTCACAGTCAGAGCATGTTAATCACCAGACCATGTCTGACCTTTTTGTTGTACTTGAGACCAATATCTGGATTATTAATATTAAAGTATTTTATTAAGAAAAATAAAGAGTAAACAATGTTTCTTTTATGTGTTTTTTGTGTACATGATTCTATGTCAAATTGAAATTATAAAAAGTAGACAAATAGTTAGTAGATTTGTTTGTTTAGTAAGCACAAAGCTACACAAAGAGCTATCTGTGCTCTGCCCATCACGGGTATCGAAATACGGTTTTCAGCGTTGTAAGTCCGCAGACATAAGCTAATAGATACATACCACATAAATAGACAGACAATTAATAGATACATACAAATAAATAGACAAACAGATAGATAGTAAATATTATATGTGACTACAATATCTTGTGTTTCCATCAAAGTTTGGCAATAGTTGAACAATCCAAAGACAAAGAAATGAAAAGCATGCGCTACGCGTATTGAATACCAAAAAGTGGGGTGTTGGTCAACTCAAAGCTTTGTCTCTCTTGAGTTGCAAAGAGGTTTCCAAATCTTATTTTAACAACTGCGCTGTCATGAAGAACGCCTATGTCGAGTGAAAGGTTAATGTCTCGGTCGTTTATCAGAAAGGCTGAAATGATTCGTAAACTACGGCATATCTATAGCCGAGTCTGATAATGGCTAGAGTAACCACTGTTTATCATCACCTATCACATTCATACTAAAGTTAGACAATGGTAACGCGTGTCCAAAGGAAACTGTCAGCTTTGCTTGTGTTCATACATTATGAGGGAAAACGATGAGAGTTTAAGGCGATAGACGTACGTCACGCAAAACCGAGACATGCAAACACTAGTATTCTTGAGTTTTTAATGATAAAAGATTTTATATTGGGATAATTCACTTCTTAATGAACGTTAAGCAGGAGCATATACTCATAAAGATTTTTTATAACTACGGAGTTATTAAGAAAAATGTTTACATAGAGAAAAAAAATCACGACATTCATATAGACGGGGAAAAAATTGATTTGTAAAATTTCTACAACTTCAGACAGAGGGAAACAAACAAAAAGAAACATGAATAGCTGTACAAACTGAAAAATTATAACCAGCGTGTATCTTTTGCTAAACTGCGCGGGCTAGTTCTGCGGCAAAGCTATGAATTTTGGAGTTGGCGATCCGGGTTTGAATCCGTTCGATACCAAAAAATATTCCCTGCATTTTAAGCCGCTGGTGCGTTATAAAATTGACAGTCAATGCTTTGGCTTGAATGGTCAGTAGTTCAAAATTAGGGACGATAGCTGATATCCTTAGTAGCTTTAGCATAAAATTCAAGATAAATATAAAGAATAAGGTCGCTAAATTCAGCTGATAGTGGAGTCTATTAGTGAGTGTATTGTATTAAACATCTTTACCCTCACACACTTCATTTTGTCATATTATGTAGGAAAAAAAAGATACTTTCCAAAACCCACACGGGTAATTGGGGTTTTGGATTGTATTTTTTCTACTTTTTCAGTTGATCCTAAATGTTTATTGGTATTTACGAACAATAACTAATAACTAGTTCTGTCCAAAATACAAATTATTGCAATAAAAGGCTAGAATAGACTTTCTAGCTCAGATATAGAAACCAATCCTAATAAAAAACAATAAACAGACTAGGATAGACTTTCTAGCTCAGATATAGAAACCAATCCTAATCAAAAACAATAAACAGGATAGGATAGACTTTCTAGCTCAGATATAGAAACCAATCCCAATAAAAAACAATAAACAGGATAGGATAGACTTTCTAGCTCAGATATAGAAACCAATCCCAATAAAAAACAATAAACAGGATAGGATAGACTTTCTAGCTCAGATATAGAAACCAATCCTAATAAAAAAACAATAAACAGGATAGGATAGACTTTCTAGCTCAAATAAAGAAACCATTCCTAATAAAAAACAATAAACAGACTAGGATAGACTTTCTAGCTCAGATATAGAAACCAATCCCAATAAAAAACAAGAACATTTTAGACACAGATAACACGAAAACAAATTAGGTGAACGACCCCATAAAGTAAAACCATGATTAAACATTCTTAAAGATATTTCATTTTTACACTACAGCGCAACTGTTCCTGTATATTATTTGTTAATTAAAAGATCCAAAGCAAGCAATATTACTATTACCACAACGCCGCCGGGTTTAAGAATTTGAGATGCTTAAAATCAGTTGCTCATTTGTTCCATCACAAAACTTTTTTTAGACATCATTATGCAGTATGCGAAAAAAAAAATATTTAGTTTATGTATTACTTACAGAAAAACTATAAATATAAAATCAAATTATCGTTAAGTAAGGTAGTACTTAATAGTAAGGATCGTGATGAAACAAAATAGCGGCCATTAAAAATCGCCCGTTTAAAATCACCTTTAAAATGTCTGAATATTAACAATGACTATTTCACAGTACTGGCTGAACAAACCTAAAACTTATTGTACTTTATAAAGCTGCGTAACTCGCTATATACATGTTTATGAATTGAATCAAAATGTCACTATTTTAACGCATTTTCATCTAAGTACGTAAGTGACTTTTCCAGACAAGAGTACCGAAAAATGACGAAGCTTGTCGCTCTAAAAACAGAACTCTTCCGTCTGGGGTCCCAGTGATTCCTTTCTTGTACAGAAAAGGATACTAGTGTATTAAAAGTATTGAAACAAGAAAGTCAAAACTACAAAAGCTGAGTTACTTAAAATTTTAAAAAATTATCCCTACTTTGGCTCAGACTAATATAATTACAGTGATTTGCCAAAGTAGGGATAAAAAAAATTAAGTTTAAGTATCTCAATTTTTGTAGTTTTGACTTTCTTGTTTCAGTACTTTCTGTAGCAGTAAACTTCCTATTTTACTATATCTAGCTAGGGCACGTATATATCGATCCCTATTTGTCTTTATAAAATTGTGAATTTTTTTATTATACATGTATAATTACAAAAGATTTTACCCTCAGTCTTGGTCTAAATAACCAAACGAAACAGTTCGCTTAAAGAAAACTACACTTGTAACGTAATGTTATTTATAACCAAATATTAATAATTTTAATCAAATGTAATCAGTGGTGTAGCTAGAAAGTTGTACAGGGATGACAAATTATTTGAAATTCTCGAAACACTAAATACTTGAAATATATGTCACTAAACTTCATTAAACAACAATCATGCACGTACTAGCAACATTTTAAAGTTGATCTATTGAGTGATTTTCTTATATTAAGACCTTTAAATTTCCGAATTTTTTAACACAACTCTCCAAGGGGGCAACTGCTTCCCCCTAGCTACGCCACTGTATGTAAGTTAACTATATTGATCAAAACTGAAAAAAAAATCTTAAAACTTAAGGAAAATAATCCTGCATAACAAACTGACTAGTAGTACTCGATATAAAAGATACTAAAACCTGTAATACTCAGCATAGATGACTCATCAGTTGGGTATCCTCATTTTTAACGATATATTTCGATCAGATTCCCAATAACATCTCACGCGACGCTACAAAAGTGCTTTTGAAATTAAAGTAGTAACACACTCGCTAATGCAAGCCTAATAATAATAAAAACAGACGCAACAAAATAATTGTTGAAACTTACGTGTTTTATTACGTCAGTTACGGCTATTGATTTGTTAATCGTTGAAACTGATAAAAGAGGAAACCAGTGAAATTGATATCAAAAGCTAAATGCGGAAAATGGGGAAAAATCCTCAATCCTCAAAGTACCGAACAATTTACTTACTGTTCACTGTCGGTAGGGTACATATGTTGTATTATAATGAGTAATTTTATGTTTTCGTCTGTTATAACACTCAGTGTAAAGACTTTATCAAAGAAATTCAGTAAAGTCACATGTTTATTCATGCAAAATAGACTGGAAACACCTATAACATTTAGAGGGATTCATTTCAGTAATGACGGTATTTTTGTTTAAAGCTTTATGAATGGCTCGTGTTATTTGGGAACCAGTAACAAGCGAAGCTATGGATCCACGAATCACTTGGCGCATAAATAACTTAAAAAATGTGTTAAAAAACTGATAGGATGGACTCCATACATTGCCTTTGGTTAAACGTTAAAAAACTGATAGGATGGACTCCATACATTACCTTTGGTTAAACGTTAAAAAACTGATAGGATGGACTCCATACATTACCTTTGGTTAAACGTTAAAAAAACTGATAGGATGGACTCCATACATTACATTTGGTTAAACGTTAAAAAAACTGATAGGATGGACTCCATTCATTACCATTGGTTA